AAAAAAGAACACCACAAACATCTAAGTGTGTACAGCAATTCTCTTTGCCCATGTTTCTGAGCTATAAAATTCGTTCAGATTACCCAGGTCAAACATAAAGCAGACAGTAAATGCCACAAACTTTATACCACTAGTGACTCTTTTCTTATAAATATAAATAAGTTACAATTAGTAAATGAATTTAAAGATCATTTAAAGCTGGGGGTATATTTTCAACCATGAAGATTTAATATATAAAATTTTATCATAGGTATAACAGTATCAAGTATGTAGCTTCAGGAAAAACAATTTTTAAAATGTCTTGTTAAATCATTATGAATATATAAAAAGATTCAAAGAATACCTCCCCCCCCCCCCCCATGGGCACCCCACAGAAAACTTTCTGGGGGGGGGGGGCAAAAAAATCGATTAACTTTCCAGGGGGGCAACCTTTTTTTAGTATGTTTTAATTTACTGTAGCCTATTTGTATGGTGAACGAACGGACAGGACATCAGCTTAGTTACTTTCTCTTTATTTTCTCTTTACTTTAATAAATTTTGTGTCTATTTTTACCTAAAATTTTTTTATTCAATCAATCCAGGGTGGGGCAAGTGCCCCACCTTGCCCCTACCTGCGGGCGCCCATGACCCCCGCCCTTTGTATGTTTGTGATAAGCTCAGCTTTAAAAGTTTGGCAGCAACTCCATAAATGAGATTCAATGTTGCATGATGTTGGGATAAGCAAACATATGGTTTAAACAAATTAGGTTACATTTTACAAGTAATTAGCAAATTTTAAATTACATTATTTTTTGAAAAAGCTTGGAGAATTTAAAACTCTCAATAAATTTGTAGATGCAAGTTTCTTTTAAATGGATATGTTCACAAAATTAGATTTTACCAGGCCATGGAAGAATTCAAAAAACATAAATGTATGTGAAATGTGTTTTTAAAAAATCTGAACTAATATTATTTCTTGCCTTATCTACTGATTCACTATCTAGTCTATAAAACATTTTAAATTATTTCAGTAACAATAATTTGTTCTGTATGTATTTGAGATTTGAATTTAAAAACAAAAGAAACTTACTAGGGTTCACTAGGTAAAAAAAATTTTGATAGAAAATGACAGAAAACCATTAACTATCAATGGAGGCCGCCATCATAAAAAGCCAAGATGACCAAGAAATGTAAAAAGCAATCTGATTAGCCTATAGCAAGAGAATCCAGCCAATCTGAAAGGCTTTTGCTATTGAGCTGATATATCTGACTTTTGGCTTTTTTGCCATAATACCCTGGGCTGATAGATCAGACAAGCTGTCTCAAGAGGGTTAACCCTTTCCTTACCGATGAAGTCAACGCGACGTCACGATCACGCACTTTCAATCACCAATGACGTCACATAGTCTTCATAACAAAGAGGCAAAGAACTTTTCTGAAATACCAACAACGTCACGTTGACGTCATATTTTAATGCTATATATTTCTTTAATCGTTAATCTTTAGAGAAGTTAATAAGCGAATCGGATGGAGAATTAAAAATACAGTAATTTTTTCTTTTTTTTAAATTAAAATTATTTTTTTTATTGCTGAGCCTGCAAAAATTGATGCCCGCCCACTCCCCCAAAACCAGCGGTAATTAAAGGATTAAATGTGTAAAAGACGTAAAGCTTAATGAGCATCTGAAGGCTTTCACTGCACAGTAGCTTAATGAGGATCTGAAGGCTTTAACTGCACAGTGGTGACTATAAAAGTTAAACAGAAATATGTGATAAAATATAAATAAAAACAAGTTATTGTGTGTAAGTGGGTACTTGACTGAAATAGTAAATATTGACCGATAGCCATTAATATAAAAGATATATCATTTTTTAAGTTAAATGGCTTATAAGCTATAAGCTTTCTGAGAACAACAAGTCATCGAAGTTCATATTTCTATCTTTTATAGAAGTGGAGCTATGATTTTTTGGTGACGTTTTGAATTTTAAAGCGCCTTGTATAAAAATAATAAATATATATAAGTTATTACTCATACAAAACAACTTCAGCTGAAATAGAATTTTAAACAAACACTTTGACTTTGCCTTTCAAAATTTAATCTTTATCTAAATTCCACTAAAAAGTATCTAAACTCTAAACGTTTGCTGTACTACACTGTGCTGGTAACTGTTTTCTAGACTATAATCTAGAACTAGAATTCAAAGCACTTGTTGACTATATACTTATGATGTGATAAGTTAACTATAATAATACTCTGTTACCTATTATTGAGAGATAGAGACAGAGTACTGAAGAGGCTTCAATTCAATAGGTAAAATTCATATTTAGTTTATTTTATAATTACCGGTAATATAAATTAAATTTTTATTGTATTATAAATTATATGCTTTACTTTAACTTTAACTCTACTTTCACTCGTTAACACAGGCCCTAACAAATTTTAAATATTATAGAAATTATAGGCATTATATCATAGAAATTATTATTATAGTTATAGGACTAATAATTATAGTTGAATTTGATGGCTTTAGTTGTTTACTATATAAGCTTGTAAGTCGTAAGTAATACTAATTTAGTAGTAACCAGCAAGTGAATCGCTTAATAAGTGTTAATTAAATCATGCCAGATTGCCAGGATGATTCGTAACAGACGAATGAGAATGCAAACTCTATCACAATGTCGTGTTATTTTAAATTTACTGCTAAACATGTATTACTTACATGCATGCTTTTCCCAGAAATTCCAGAATCTCCACACGCAGCCATTATTGTAGTGAATTTTAGGCTAGCAAGGAGTTTAAATTTGTTTAAAAACAAATCAAAACACCACGGGGTACTATATGAAGCGAACGTTACCAAACCACAGCCACAACTAAGCAGGGGGTCAAGTCTTTTATTTTCCCCGTGAATAAATACTCAGCAGTAATCGACTACTACCAAAAGCTCTAACACTAATGTATTTTTAAATTTAAATGTAAAATAACAATAATTTATATTATGTTTAATAGAATAACGGTGAATTTGTGAAAAATTCAATTTCTAGCTAACACTGAAAGACAGCAAGTTAAACGTTCCCCATCACCATCCCCTAAATGAAAATCATATTAAATTTAAATGGTATGATGACAATGATGTGAACTTGTTACCTGTTACTGTTACATCCTAATTAAAAAGAGTTATTTAAAGATAGAAATAAATGTTATACCAAAATAAATTTGAATTAAATGTATTAAAATAAAACTATGATATTATTAATATTTTTTATTGCTCTCATTATTTATTGTATTCTAAAGCTGATGAACATAACTTATTTATGTTGTATTTGTATTCGTTGGAGTTTGTATTATAGTTATTGCATGATAGGAATCTGTGGTTGCCCAATCTTTATCTACAGTGCACATGACAGTCGTTGCAGTTAGTTAAAAATATAGGGGGCGGCACCCGCGGTTATATTTGGCTCTGTTACAAAACTTAACAAGGCTCTGACACATAGGCCTAATGTTCTAAAAAATCTAATTCGATAATTTTTTTTAGCGTCCTTACAACTTACAGTAGTTACAGTAAGGTTAAATTTATGTTTGATATTGATACACTACATTATCTATAGGCCAACTTCAGTTAATCTCATTTTGCAGTTTGGGGTCTAAAATTCCCCGTGGTGTTTTTTTTTTGCGTTTTTTTTAAAATAAATAGTGGTGAGATTAAGCCAATTTTCATCGGTTCGGTATAAACGTTGCTACTATCTAACTTTTTGTTGAGTTCGGCGCAGTGGTTATCAAAAAGGTACTTGTTGTCACGTGGACCCCCGGGAATCCGAAGCAGGGTTTCTTTCACCTATATCTCCGGGGGGGGGGGGGGGGTGCCCCCCCCCACCCCCCGGGGCGAAAAATATGTCCAACACTAAATCAACTGGCGCTGCCCCCCCCCCCCCCCCGAAAAAATCTTAAGTTTGCCCCCGCGGAAAATTTCTGAATTAATCACTGATCCGAAGCGCCAGCCCAGTGGTGGTCATTGGTGAAAGCAAACTTGACGGAACTATGATTTTAATTTTAATATGTAGGCTAGTTTTTAATAAATTTCCTAAAAGTCATATACCTTTGAGGGAGTACACCATGTTTATTCCATTGTATTTGTCTATGCAGTAAACAAGCGTATACCTTAATGTAAAAATAAGTGCCAAACCAACCAGAGGGGTCACAAGTTGTCATTTTGTTTCAACTTTCTGTTCAAAATTCCCACGAGATATATTTAACTGACAACAGTTGTTCCATTATTTGAATCATATCCTCGGGGAGCTGTTAAAAGTACACACATTTCCCCCTTCACACGATCTCCAATGCCGCCAAAATTATTTTAATTGGTTAGTGTAGTTTTTGCTCTTTATTTTTTATAAAAAAGTCAGTTTTGCACCATTATATATATAAAAAATATATATATATATATATGGCAAGTTTACATTATGTTCAATAAATTGTACGTACATTCTTTTTATGTCAATTACAAGAATAAATTCTTCATCGTTTATAGCTAGGGCGTAGTTCGCTGAAAAGAGGGGGGGGGGGGGGGGGGGGGGGGGGGGGGGGGGCGTCCTTGATTTTGATAACCCTAATGAATGAACCACTGGTGTAGGGAGGATTGGATGGAGGGAGAGGGGCTTTTGATCTATAGTTTTTTGTTGGGGAGGCAAAAATGTTGCCCTCCCCCCTCTTGGGACAGCACAAACTCTAGCTACGCCACTGGAACGAACATCAAAATGGATACAATATACCGGTACACAAAAAGTAAGTTCAATCAATTGGACTGAAATGCCTCCCCATTTTCTACTCTCCAGTTATCTCTTCTCTGAAAATTTTAATTAAAACATGTAATAGGATGACATATATATAACCGGTACCCACAGCTTTTCAGTATATCTAAACACTTACTACCTTCAATTACTACAGACATGGAACATGTCAAAACAAAACCATTCAAAGTTAAAGCATTACGCACCACATACATTTATTCAACAACACAAAATGCTTAAGATTTCTAAAGCTTTATTACTGATCTGTGCAACACAAAAAAAAAGTAATAAAGGATACATTTTAGAAATTTTTAGACAACACCACCAATTAATAATGATCTGGACTTGTCTTTACGCCTTAAAAAGATCATGTTTAATAAAAGCATATAGAAAATGTCCTGTAGCGTTAAATTACAGAAAATGGCTCTGCACTCATTTGATTTAGTCATTACAATGGTAAAATAACAATGTATTTTAGTTGAGTGCTTAAAATGTGCTTTCATGCTAATGAAGTTAGAAATAATAAAAGTATGTATTATATTTTTGTAATAATAAAAGCATATTATATAATTTTGTAATCAAATGTTATGTATGCACATATGCTGTTTGTCATAATTTTTTGATGGATGGGTAATTTTTTGATGGATTGGTCAAATTAAACATTAGGAGAATATGAATAGTTACTCACCTAGAACTGGTTATACACATGCTAATCAGTCTCTTTTATGAAAGTTGGGAGGCAGTTTATTAAGTTATTTAAACCCTTTTTTTCAAAACCTCATTTTTTGCATTAACATTGATCTTTTAATGACATGACACCTACAACCAGATAAGTTAAAAAAAAAAAGAAAAGGAAATTGCAATCACTTCAGATGATGAAACCTGTTGAACATTGCAGTATCCATTTATGCAGACTTCAGTGAGCGCATTATCTGAAACAAGCAAGAAAAAAAAAGATTGTTTTTCCATTGTTATATACTAGACACCACCACCCTCTTAAACAAAATGAACTCAAACTGTACCGGTAAATCTATCCATCCATCCAAGTGGTGCTACAGCCTGTATAGGGTTTTGGCCTGCCTCACCACTTTTTCCCACTCAGACCTGACACCTTTCTTTTCTATGCTTAAATTTTCAGCTGTGTTAGAACTGTTTTCACATCATCCACCCATCTAAGCCAAGGTCTGAGCCATTTTCCTCTGGGGTTTTAGTGGTGCACCCTCTTCACCCCTCCATCATTCGTTCTCCGCGTCAAGCGCAGCTTGCCCTTCTTTATTTCTGTTACTAGCATGGGATTCTGATGTACGGTAATCAATGCAATTCCAGGTTGGTTTGTATTCTCCATCCATATTCATCTTTGGTGTTGGTTTGTATATTTTCAGAACTTTCCTCTCCCATGTGTTTAATAGGTTTTCTGCTGTTTTGTTAGGGTCCAAGTTTTACTGGTGTATGTTTCTACTGGTCTGATTATAGTTTTATATTTAGTGGTTTTCTTTTGGTGTAATTGTAATGTTTTTAACTTTTAAGTATTTTGTGACAACTGAAGAACGTGGCCTGTTTCTGGAAAATATTTTTTTCTTTTATTTCTGTTGATAATTTCTTTAATTGTTTATAACATCCTTGATATTTGAACTGATGTACTTTTTCAAAAGTGTGGTTTCTTATTTAAATGGTTTCATCTGTCTGCTCTTATGTCATGTATTTTGTTTACCTTCAAGCCCTGCTTGTAGTGATGCATCTACTAAATGTACCAGTACACATATTCAAAATTAACCGTGCCAATAGTAAGCTTAAAATTTTCATCTTACCTCATCAAATTTATGAAACTGTCTAATAAAGAAGTCACCATATCTACGTGCCACTTTGGTGTCAGCTATATGAATCATATTCTGTGAGAGGTAGTTTTAAAATATTAATTAGCTGAAAGTTGATATTAAAAAAAATTATGGAAAGAAACATTATCTTTTAAGAAAAGAATTTTGAACACTAAAAGAAACAGATCAGTGAAATTTATCAAGTGAAGACAGATGATATTGGTCAGAGATAGAGAAGTCAAACTTTCTTAGGTGCAGCATAAACATTAAACAAAATGAAAATTTAAAAATCTTATATTCTGCTACTTTGCAATAGATTACAACACTACTTTCAAACATTTCACATTATGCAAAAGTATCCTCTCTCTATTTATATGTTTTAAATAAAAAAAAAAATAATAAAAAAAAAGGGGTGGGGGGTGGGCATTCAGCCATAATATACCTTGTCAATGTAAAAGTCTACTTCTGAAGCTGACTGAAACTCTCCCTCAAGTCCACTTGTTCCTTTTGTCCAAACCAAATTTTTCATTTTATGCTGAAGATGAATGAAATTGGCCAAAACTTAAAAACCAATTAATTTTTAGGAAGCAAAATTTGATTTAAATAAATTATTCAATTATTTAATTCTGAATTAATATTGAAATAAAAAAAAGTAGAAGTTATTCTAATGCCTAATGAAAATCTAAGTAATTTTAGCGTTTGTCACAGATATCATTATAAATGTGTGAACCACTAATGGCAAGTAATAGTGACCAAGTCACTGTTATATTTAGTTGTAAAAAATACCCAAAATGATGTGGTTCAAACAGTGACTAATTATATCCAAAATAATAAATATACTGCGAATCACATCATACAAATTTCGATTCCTATTACACTTCATAAAATAATATTTTTCTTGAGAATGTTATTAATAAAATCTCAATAAACTGTCAAGTGTCTCTGTACACGCTCCACCTCATTATTTTCTTCTCATTTTTTAAATTAAACACTCTGTTTGGCCAGTCCTCGCAAGTCCCAACACTCTGTTACTGTATAATATGCCCAATAAATATTAAGTATATGAATATTACTTTTCTCCCATTAGTGGTTCATACATTCATAATGATATCTGTGACAGTGATAAAAATTTTAAATTGGAGGATCAAAATTACAGTTCATAATAGAACTTTCACCAAACCTCACCTTAAAGCACATCAGCTGAGTGCAAAGCTCATCTTCTTTCTGAAAATAAATAAAATGACACTTTATTTTAAATTTCTTTGGTTAAATTTTTGTGTCATTACATTACATAAAAATTGCTCTTTGAATTTAAAATATACAGATTAGATAATGAACAATAAATAAGAAAATACCATTTCCATAAATGTTGCCAGTTTTGAAATGGGCAGTGTAGTATATAACTTCAGGTAGCTGCAAACAAAATAAACATATTTTATGAATACTCACTTTAAATAAAACCTTAGTTCAGTGAATGAAAGGGAAAAAAAAAAATTGTATTCATTTTTTTGGGAGTGAAGCAAAGTGATTAAAACTATATACCGGTATTTAAGACTCAAAGAAGATTATCAAAATCTTTTTTCTCTCAATATTCCTAAATGAACCATTTTTAGCCTAATTCATGGTCCCAGTATTGAAAAAGAAATAAACTATATGATGGTACCATAACTATTTTCTGCAATAAAAGAATATGCTATCTTATTCTTATTGCCTAAGCCTTTCAGCAAAAAATGAATAAATTAATCTTTTATACAACATAAATCATGTTACAAAATATCTTATATCAACACAAAATATAACGATTACAATATCCTGTAAGGGGAAACATGAATTTTAGAGAAATAATAATTACTCAAGTCATGGCAATAAAACTAATGCTTTTTCTTTCATTAGGCTGAAAATTACCTTCGAATTGTAGGGACTTGAATTTGTTGCTGTACCTCATCTTTAAATACCAAAAGCTGAAGTTGATAAGGCTCCTAAATAATAGAAGAAAAAAAAATCAAATATCCTATTAATTTTAATTTACATGCTTAATATTAATTTAGCATGTAAACTAGAAATGAATTTTAGGAGAAGTGTATATTTACAAAAAAGTAGATGAATTTTAATACAATGAATTAAAAACCCAAATACAATTTTAATAGAGTATAGTTTCAAACCTTGAATAAATTTGCTGAGCCCTCTGTGTCATAGTTGGGTGGTACAGGTGACAAAAACTTTGGACAGGCAAAGGAGAATGAAGCTTCAAACTCTTGCATTTCCCTGCAAAGTTCAAAAGATTTAAACATTTTTTGAACTAAAAAACTATGTAGCAACATGTAAAATCTGGAAATTCGACTTAAATACTTCAAAAACAACTACTAATTTTGTAAATATATCTGTTTGTTACCCTTTCTGCATTCTGTTCATTTTATCTTGGTATTTTTCTCTCAGATGGGAGTGCACACTCTCATCTATTCTCATGGGGTAGAGGACCAGGGACATAGACAGTAGAGTGTACATTTTGTCATTCATCTTTGATATCTATACAATACAACATATTAATAGCAAATTAGCATTATATATTAAAAAATGTATGGTTTCATTTGGCTATCAAATTATAATTAAAGTAGTTGTTTTAATAAGTGAAAAATGTTAACCTACCTGATCATATAACTGTGTCCTGTTTTGAAACATGGTCTTTGTCCTCTGTATATACAACAGGATGTTAGAAAGAGTACGGATAGCATCCTGATAGCGCCGCATCATCATATAAGCAAAGCCTACATAATAGAATGTGGTGATCTGACAGGCAGGAACTCTTGAGTACAAACTCTAGAAATATAAATATAATAATAAAAGAAATGATGTTATTATATAAATTATACCATTTTAATATGAGTAAACCAGTCTGGAAATTATTGTTTGATGGGTGGACATTATTTTTTAAATTGATATGGAGAAGTCTTAATTATGCTTACCTTCTTGTTGAAGTCAATATTTTCAAGCACTTTAAGTGCTTGGTAGTAGTCCCCCAGGAGAGAGTGAAGTCTCAAAAGTCCTACAAGGCTGAAGTAACCCAGCATTTTATAGAGAGAGTTCTGTCCAAACTCTCCTGAAACACTGTCTGGGTCCCCTAAAATTTGAAACAAGAAGACACCAAAAGAAAAAGTTACATAACAAAAGAGATATACAAAAAAATCAAGCTATATCATCTGGATAATCTTAAATAAGTACTTAAAACTTACCACCACTTGTGTAGACCTCTAGCTGTTTGTTAATGTTTGACTTCTCAACAAGAGAGTGAAGCACATTAAGCACACTGTGAACATTCCAAATCTGAAACATTTAAAACACAATCTATAACTTTTATTACTTACGACACAGTATTTATTCAAGCTTTTAAAATAATATAATATACTCTGTTAATGTTTCATAATTTTCTTTTACACAAGATTCTGATCCGCCTCAGGATAAAAACATTATGAAGCTTATATATAACTATATTTCGCAGAATTATTCAGACCTGTTAATCCTCAGACCTCTAAAATCGTACAATGTCATCTCAAAATCGTACAGTTCAGAATTTTAATAGCAAATACTCGCATCAATACAATAACTACTGGCATCGTGTGTCAAGTATTATCAAGTTAAGGGTAACTGAAGGTAAAAAGTGGATGACTGACGTTTATATTGCAAACTGCAGTCACTTTGTTTTATAGAGGTGTATCTGTTATAGATATCTATTCATATTTAGGTGAACGTTCAGATCACATTATCGAAGTCAGATGAGCATAAAATAAAATTTATTAAAATAAGAATTAATTAGCAAATTTGGGCATCATTAAAAAAAACCTACCAAATAACTTGAGATTTATTTTTAGGAAAAGCTGTTAATTTGAAAAAATAAGAATCAATATCCATTATACCTATTTACCGTTAACATATTACAGTCAGATTACTACCACAACTTGTAAATGGGTCAAAGGAAGAGGGGGTATTAATAATCATACATATGTTTTGTACGTTTCTTAAAATCTATATTTGCCGGGCAGAACAGTTGAGAATGCATTCTTTAGTTTTCTCCTTTTCTGTACTCTCTGTGGTCATCGTAAGAAATAATTATGTCACAAAATTATGTCATACAAACAGAAGCAAAAAGACGTAAGTAGGGGCCATTGTATGTGCGCAAAAAAAAGTCAAAATTTTACACTCACACCTGGTTGCACGCATACCCGTTTTTTTTTTTTTACTAAGAATAATCTTTATATATTTTTGATGTTACAGTATTCGAAATGTGACATGGTTTTTCTTGACTGACAATTCAGTGGGACCAGCGGTTCCCAGAATATACACTGCATCACCCTGGGTGCTCGCTGCCCTCGAGAAGGGCCATGAGTGTGGGGCAAAGAGCAACAGGAGCCAAAAATCGTCTTTAGAAAGGACCTTCTCGTGAATTTAACTATAAAATCCCATTTACTTATCAAAGATAAAGGGCGCAATAAATTATACATGAGGGATGAACATCTTTCTACATGGGTTGCTGCAGCTTCCTCACAGGGTTGTTTCGAAATATTACACAATTTTCATAATTTTTATTTCTACTTTAAATTCAATGTGACAACTTTCGGTGGTAGTGCAAACAGTAACCCACTTGAGTAACTACTGTTTGCAGCTACTAGATGGTGCTTAGTGACCTTCATACATGTTATATTTATTTTTACCCAACCCTTTATTTTATTTTGCTTATGAATTCGCAAGTTCGAAGTGTACACACAGAAAGCCTAGAGAATACCTAAATTTGGCATGGGTGCCAGGGAACTAAAATTTTAGAACCACTGGCGTAGCACAACAAAATATGCATCACAAGCATGTTGAACAGACCGTGGGACGGTGGACTAACTATTACTGTAACATCTCTACTACTGAGTACTATCTGAGTAAGCTAGTGAGTTCATTTGGGAAAATACAGGGCAACATCACCACAATAATACCTACTACCACTAAACATAGGGTGATATATTACAGCATTCAAGATATAAATATGCTATTTTTTTAGTTTTAGAACTTCGGGATGAATATTGTAGAATTGTTGAATAACGCACATACTTTCTGCCATGGCCCCACCCACTAACGTTACAAAAAAGTCGCAGTGTTTTATACATTTAATATTTAGACCCGCTGCCTATACAGAAAAAAATATCCTAAACCAACACCACTCCTTTTTGCCTCTCAGGTCAAACATAATATAATTATAGATGGTCCCCAACCAATCATATTTCTCGATCCACACACTGCTGGACGTAGAATGCAAATTAAAACAAGCAACCGAAAATGTACTTTTTAAAATTCATGTATATATTTTTTAATCGGAAAAAAATACAGTAACGTATGTATTTTCAACCCGGTCTCTTAAAATTGTAGTACTACAGGTTTTGGCGTACAATCGAAAAAGTCATCTCAAAATAGTACATTGTACGCAAAAATCATAAACAGGTCTGATTATTTCAACATTGATCATCAGCCACTAGACCAGCGGTTCTGAACCTGTGGGTCGCGACCCCTTTGGGGGTCCCGGGACCCTTTTCCAGGGGTCGCCTAAGACCATCTGAAAACATATATCCTTACAGCTATGAAGTAGCAACGAAAATAATTGTGTGGCTTGGGGGTCGCCACGACACGAGAAACAGTATTAAGGGGTCGCGGCACTAGAAAGGTTGAGAACCACTGCACTAGACCCATTTCTGTGTTGTCATTGCAAATTGTTCGCCTGTCATCAAAGATGAAAATGATTTAATGCATTTTGGTTAAGGGGAAATCATTCTATACAAATGAGTTTGCTTCCCATTACTGTTTATATCAGTGCGTTAACACGCTTTTATCAGGGCTTGTTTTGTGATAATTTGGATGTGATATATGCTAAATTATTAGATTCCTAATACCTAACCTAAAGAGATTTATATTTGTGTATGCTCATGAGTATTAGTTAATTAAAAAAATTGGATTGAATAACTTCAATTGAAAAGGAATTTTTGAACTCATTTCATCCTCTCCCTCGTGTAAATTGTATGACAGAAATTTGAAGGTAGTAAATGTAATAAATTCACCAAAATTATAATTTTTATTATAAATAAAATATCAATAAAAGAATATTGCTTGTAGAAGGTAAAAAACTTGATTTCAAGATAGTTTGAATAATTTATGGAGAATTAGGTTGGGTTCTTTTCATACCATAAGATTCGGTGCCCCATGTTCTTTCAGAAGATATATTATTGCAAGGGTCTCTGAATTCATTTAGCATGAGATTTTTCCATTTTTGACAAAGCATATGAAAATGGTAAAAATGACTTGACAGCTAAAGGGTCAATACATTGATGTGTCTGAATAAGTTTTCAAAAAGTTTACCTTTGGATTGGTTCTTAGAAGCTCAATTTCATCCTCAGTCTTTTTGTTAGCCAGCTTGTGACGGAAGATGCTGAATGCTTGAAACTAAAAAGAAATTTGAAAGCCTAAATTTTGTAATAAAGGTACTTGTTCAATATATTATATAAATTTATATACCAAATCTATATATGAATATACATTTCTTTTATTCTATTAAGACTCACTTTTTGGCGCTTGAGTGTTTTAAAATAATTTTTATAGTGACAGCACATACAATTATGTTTAGGAATAATTCTATAGTGTAGAATTTTACCTGATAGATGAATTCATCAATTATGTCCCACAACCACTGGTCAGGCAACTCCAGGGGAACAGGTCCATCAGCATCTATGCAAATGGAAATGTTGCTGTTCATTGTGCTTCATGTCATTTGCAATATATCTCAAATTTTTTGTTACCGGTAGTCTTGGTTTTGTTTTTTAAAAAAAATTACAAACTAGTGGGCCGTTGAAACAATACATAAATACCTTCAATTTAAAACTAATCCAAGCTCACTTAAATAAAGATATGAACTCTCACTTTCATTAGCACTGAATCTAATACTTTAGTTTCCTATTTTAGATGATGGTTTAACTAATCTAAATAAATATCACATTCCAGTGTTATAATAAAAAAAATGTATCCATTTAATTATTTCTTTTATAAACATACTTAATATGTAGTTGAAGAGATTGCAATAATTGTAGTAAGACTGAAAACGCTGTTCCAGAGTTGGTCCTCCCTTTTAAAAACAAAAACAACAAGTTTTAAATCTGTCAACCAGAGATATATTTTTTAAACAGCACTTTTAGATAAGACTATCACATTTCAAGAGCAAGTTAGGAGAAATTCAAAATTTTACTATCATCCAAAGAAGACATGTTTGAATCCAAAAACGCCACATGCTAAGACATTAAACTTTTAATCATAAATTGTTTGGGCAAGGATTTATTAAAAAAAAGTTAAAAAAAAAAAAAGCCTTGTGACAGGCTGAACCCCCCATAATAATATTATCTAATTAGCAAATTACACATTGCCGAGCATCAATAAACAAATGCAAAACAGTAGAGTTGAGTGGCTTAAAATAACTTACTGAAACTCTTGCGTAAACATGACGATAATACAGCTCTTTGTACAAGATAAGGAAGCGCTTGTCTGACGACGAAAAATATTATGGACAAAATTAGTAAGCCCTAATTAATAAATTCTAAATAAAATGTATACAAATATTTACATTGACTAATTTAACGATAATTCATTACCATGTCCAACAATAGGGGCGACTACCTCAGCCTCTGGCCATGCACTGTTTTTAAAGAAACGCTCCGTTAATTTGTTGAACCTGCAAATATAAATTTTTATGTTAAGCCAATATAAAAAAATGTCACAGCAATACCTCTTATTATAACACATTTTTTGGGTGCATTTTGCTTAAACTTAAAGAATTGTAAGTTCTTAATATATATAAAAAAAACTAACTGAAGGCATTAAACTAAGCTTCTATCAGGCATATGTGCTCCGTACGCTCCTATATTGTAAAGAAGTGTGGACCAAATGTACTAGTCAGGAGAGGAAACTCAGGTTCCACCAAAAATGTCTGTGTCGCACTTTGCGAATTCAATGACAGGACCAAGTGACCAACACTGAGGTTTTGGAAGTGCCAAAGTGTGTAGCATGTTCTCCGCTCTTAGCAAGAGGTGCTTTCGCTGTTTAGGCCATGTAAGGGGAATAGAGGAAGGCTGTATTACAAAGGAACAGCTGTATGGAGAGTTGGCAGAAGGGGCATGACTTATTGGATAGCCGACACTGAGATTTAAGGCCATTTGTGAAAGGAACACGAGGGAAGCCAAAATAGATAGCAACGAATGGGAGCACAGTTTCAGCTGGAACCAAACAGGCAGCAGATATGTAAAAACAAAGCCCTTACAACAAAAAGAGCGTTACAGGAGGCAAAATTTAACCAGGAGTCAAGGTTCTCTTGCAAGAAGTGCAGCCAAGACTGCCATTCCAGGATCAGCCTTCTTAAGCCATTTGATGATGTGTCAATAGCCACTTGACGAGCAAAGATCGTGTCGTGAAGGCGGAAGGGTGCCATATATATATTGGAGAAGATGCTTATTAAAAATAAAAATCACTCTATCTTATATAGCTTTTCAAAATAAATTGCAATTTCTAAAGCTCACCCATTTTCATATGAGTTTTGAATTTCTAAAAGATCTTGGGAGTTGATGCATTTTTGAAAAAATAGCAAAAAGTTCTTGATCACTTCAGGTACAATGTAGCTGTGAGCAGAGTAATGTCGTTCAAACTCCAAGTCCTGGCGAGGATCACCTATATTATGATAAAGAAGCGTTATCTACATTTTAAAACATTAATATAATTAAAAACATATTAAAAATAACTAAACTAATCAACTTATTACTTTTCATAATGTTACCATGTAACCTTAGAGTGTTGACACCTTTATTAAAACCAAATATTTTAATAAAAATCAGAGATACGACTCATCCCTCTTCTCGACATCACAGGTATCTAAATCCATGGTGGCTTATCAGTAAATGGGCTAGGGCAGTGGTTGGCAAACTGATTTGTCAAATGAGCTAAAAATCAGCATCAGGGCGATTAAAATTTTTTTTAGAGCCAACTTTCTTTGCAAAAACTTGTCAAGAACCAGGTTTTTTGGTGCCAAGACCAATTTGTGACTGGCTGGCCAAGCCACACTCAGATTAGTCGACCACTGGGCTAGAGCATAAGAGAAAATGAATTTCCCCCAACATCTCTATTTTACCTATTTATTAAAGTATTTATTAAATACACATTTAGATATTGTAGTGATATATGAGATGTTTTGGTAAAATTGATAGACACTATATTATATACAAAATAAGATTACTAAAAATTTATATTCAGGTTGAGACAATAGTAGCATTATTGCATGAAAGAAGATTAAACAGCTATTAACAGTCATTAACTATAATGCGCTTTCCCCTTTATGATTACTGGGTTAAATTAGCCAAAGAAACAAAGGTAATCTATAATACTAGAGTGTAGTTATTATAAAGAAGAGGAATGCAAGTAAGGAATATACTTAAAATCAACATTAAATTAAGAATACGAAATAAAGTAGATATTTTTTTAACTTGTAAAAGAGTTACAATAAAAATGAAACTAAGATAATCTTGATAAGAGCATAGATGTTGGAGAAATTTTCTAGGCTAAAGTGAGACATTTGTTAAGACAAGTATTTGCCAATGACCTGGATTTTTGTGTGTATTTTATATGAATGCTTTATGTCTCTTCATAAGACACCCAAAAAAATAAAGTTTTGTAAATGTTTCAAGGTTACTTTAGGCCAGAGGGTATAAAGAACCCTCCACCTTCGTTTCACTTGAATTTAATTTTGCAATGTTAATATTTGGACAAAATCATTGGACTATATCCATTCTAAATAGATATTGCACATTAATAAAACAAAAAACATTTAAAATTGTCATAACTACAGTAACTAAGCAATTTTTTTGCTGTTGTTGCTTTAATGGAGTTATCAACCATTCATATATCTAGTGAAAACTTTACACATAAGCCAATGGGATAATTGATCTGATCAAAATTGGAAAACATTAAAAAAGAATCAAACCTTGTTACACTGAAAAATACACTTGTTTAATACAGTTTTTGTGGATTTTTAAGCTTTAATTGATATAATTAACTAGGCAAATTAAAAAAAAATATATATATAATAAAAATTAATGTTCTTACCAGTATGGGACATGTCATAGTCCCCATAAGGCCCGTAGTATCCTGGCACATACTGGAAGAAAGAAGTCACAAACAATATTATCTATTTCATAAGTGGTGTGGGGTAATGGTAAGGGAGGAGTAAAGAGGATGCAGAATACACTGATGGCATGAAATAAAATGGCTCATTTGGCTGTCCTTGAAAGTCCACTGACTTCTGCGGGTTCACTGCATTCACACCACAGATACTTCATTTGATGTACTGGGAAACACTACTTATTTTTAAAAAAAATTAATTAACAGTGAATCACAAAGATGTGATGTAAAGTTCTGCTATTTTTAAAATTGCATTGAAAATCATTTGATTAAAAAAAATGACTAATACTGTCTGTTGTCCAAATCTGCCAATATAAATGGCCTTTGCTACTGTTTAGTAGTTAACTTAATCTTATGACTTAAAGCAAGAACAGTACAGTTTAGTATAGAGTATGTTTTAATAGAGTAATAGTAATAGACAGTAGCAATCTGAAATATAAGACAGTCATTCGTATCAGTGTATGACTGTGTCTGTTAGTTGGTGTGTGAAACAAATTAACCCCCTTGAGATGGCTTTGCCGATCTATCAGCCCAGAGTTTTATAGCGAAAAAGGTGAAAGGTCGATATATCGGCCAAATAATATAAGCCTCCAGATTGCCTGGCTCTTCATACCAGATATTCAGATTGATTCTTGCATTTCTTTTTCATCTCACTATTTTATTTCAAGTGTTAAAAAATTGCTTGCAAAAATTATGCAAATCAGGATGTGTCATAATGTTGAAATTTCAGATTGATCCATAAAGAATGTATTTGTTTTTTTTTCAATTATCTACAAGAGAATATATGTAGTTTAATATTTTTAAAGTAATGAGTGTATTTTTTATAAATTGTTTTGCAATGTTAGTGCAATGCTTGTGAAAAGGACGTAGTCTTTTAGGCACAGACAGTCTAAATGGCTCAGTCTCAAGAGGTTTGCACCATTCATTATATTGATTTTGTTGTATACAAGGCAGGAGAACTTAGAAATTAAAAAATATCTTTTAAAAACCAATGTACGGCAACTAAATTATACAAGTATAACTAGTTTAAGACACACAAGGCCTAATTGGCGAAAAAACAATAAATATGCTTAATTGTTCATTGTTTGTTATATTAAACCATTTTAATATACTTCTATCTGTTAAATATGGACATGGAGTTTTTAATTGAAAACTCTGCTTAAAAGTGATCAGTCATCAATAAATAGCATTTAATACTATTAACTAAAAGAAAAGCGGGAGATATACGTCCGGCGAGCATGTCACATGACCGCCGGGCGACTGGTAGGCGTTATTATTCCGGCAGGTCATGTGACAAGTGGTCGCCGGCAAATTTAATTGATATTCCGATCCCTAGATAATAAATAAATGCTGAAAATGTTAATATATTCTAATGCTCTGAGATACATAAAGTGTTTGACTTTGAATATTAAACTAGTCGGCCTAGATACTAACTAGTAGTACTATTACTACAACTATTACTAGTCTATTTGATTCCGATTTTTCAAAGTCAAAGAAAAAAGTCCCTAATCTTGGTTAATACATTTTATAAAGCTCTACCTTTATGCCTAAATTTAAAATATGAACCAAATAAAATAAGACCAGTAGACTTCAATAGACCTATGTCAATAAAGTTGTATTCAGGATTAGTATTTATTATTTAGTATTATATGAGAAGTAGGCTAGGCTACCACTATATCTGCCCTATATTAAGATGTAGGGTCTATTTCTTTGTAAACTATCGGCCTCCCCGCCATTAAACTTAATTATTTATCACCCTCACTATTATATTTTTACCATTCGTATTTGTATAACCGTAATTGTCTCCCTTTCAGCATTGCTTCCTTCTAGAGTCCATAATTACTTGGCAGTGTCTAAACGTCCGGCGGGCGGACATATATCTCCCGCAGTATTTGCCCGGCGACCAAGTCACATGACCGCCGTAACAAAGTGGCGAGAGATATTTTGTCACGTGACAAGGCTGACGGACTAAATTGGCTAAATTCTATAAATTATTATTTTTATATCTCTCGCCACTTTGTTACTACCGTCATGTGACTTGGCCACCGGACGAATATCTCGATAAAGTTTTCTCCCTGCGGTCCATGACTTGGTCGCCAGAAAAATAGTGCGGGAGATATACGTCCTGCGTGTAGACACTGCCTTAACTAAAACAGTGACAGTTAAAACTGAGTTAACATGATAATGTACTAAGTATGATACACATGACATGGATGGTGCCAATTCTAGGCTAATACTAATAACTAAAAAGTGATAAGGCAAATAAGGTCTACTATTACTAAAACTAAAATCAATGTTGATCACATAGTGATAGTGAGGATAGTGATAGTGTGACATACTCACATACCCAACCCTTTTTTTCAAATTTCTAGTTCCTTAGAAAGTCGCTATAGTCTGTACATAAAAGGCTAGCATAGGCACCGAGGTTTAACTAAACTACTACATTAAATTGTGGAAGTGGAAGGCTAAAACTGAAACTTTCAGTAAAAGTTAAAAGTATAAAAGGGAAATCATTTGGACATTTTGAAATTGCATAGAGATCATAGGCTAATACGTAATGCAACGATTTGTTTAAAATAATATAAAGGCCAAGTAATTATTTCATTCACACTAACTTTAAGCCATAAATTACTCATATTTAAAAAAAATAATAATAGAGAGTGAAAGAAAATTAGAGTAGCCGACAAGTGCCGGTTATCGAGAACAGGCAATTCTACTAACGATCAATCTGTCGTAGAAAAACATTGAATCAACAATAGCTTTTCGTAGTTTATATCACACTAAATTAATTTATACCATTAAAAACATAGGTAAAATAACTATGGATAAATCTAGGGCTTAAACAATCAAAATTTTACATACTTCTGGTTCAATTTCACTCGCCCACGCCCCAGACATGTTTTCTCTTATTACAAATATTTTGCACATCAGAGTTATTTACCCTTGTCCCTAGTAAGACGACCGTTTACTGTTGAAGATGTTAATGATGATGACGACCACATTTATTTGCCTTTAATTCCCGTTTGTTTTGACATTAAAATATGTCTGTAACGTTGCAAAACTGATTATATTCATAATTTAATATACTTTATAAAATAATATAGCATTTAACTTAATAAATTTAAGCCAATCCAAATCCCTTTAAATAAAAACACTAATCAAATAATTATATTATAATTATATGATATAGCCTATAATGAACATGAAGTAAAAAACGTAAGACGTAGACCTATTTTTATTTTGACCAAGAGTTCATCCCCAGAACGTGTTGTTGCACACTAATAAGGAACGGTAGACCTCGTCCTATGCCTATGCAGAGCCCACCCACCTAAGCATGATTGGTATATTATATTTTGTGGGCTAAATGAGACAATTCTCAATTACGTGTGTGTTGGTTAGTAATAAGGACAACGCCAGAATGCCCCTTTATTAAAGCAATATTCATATTTTTTGTATGTCATCCTTTACACAGTCCTTCCACCCCCCCACCCAAAAAAACAGCAACAACAAAATAAACAAAAACAACTGAACTGCAAACAGTGGCGTAGCGAGGGTGTTTGGCGCCCGGGGACAAGATTCGCGCCCGGGGACAAGATCCATTTTTAGCGCCCCTTTTTCTTTTTTTCAACTCTCAAACCCATTATTTTCATCAATAAAATAATATCAAAGCGCATTTTGGCGCCTCTAACTAGCATGCGCCCGGGGACATCTGTCCCCCCTGCCCCCACCACGCTACGCCTCTGACGCTACATAACGTAACCTTTGATAGTTTATTAACATTAATGAGAAAATATTTCTTACAGCATACAATGAAAAGCGGCTTGTATTGTTTCAAAAGCATAACTTGGACGTAGTTGAACTGTTTCCTTAGTCAATCGAATTCAACCTTTATCTTTGTAAAGGAGGACGAAGAAAAACAAACGTATTATAAGCAAATATTAATAATTTACTAACCTAAAAGAAATACTCGATTTAAGTGTATATTGCTAACACACTTGGGCAGTGGCGTAGCGAGGGTGTTTGGCGCCCGGGGATAAGATTCGCGCCCGTGGACAAGATCCATTTTTAGCGCCCCTTTTTCTTTTTTTCAACTCTCAAACCCATTATTTTCATTAATAAAATAATAACAAAGCACATTTTGACGCCCCTAACTAGCTGGCGCCCGGGGACATCTGTCCCCCTTGCCCCCACCACGCTACGCCTCTGCACTTGGGTAACTGCTTGTCTATCCCAATTCCTATTGACCGTTTTATCCACATATTAAAGGAAACAAATAGTAAATGTGTCATGGCATACCAGATATTGACCTACATCTGTGGCCTACACATTTGACACACTACTTGTATAACAAGCCAAACGTGGCTGTAGCAGTTGCATCGTAACAGAGTGAAACGTAACCCTGCTTCTCAGTGAAAAAAATTCAGGTCATTGCTTTATAGCAGGCGTCAGAAGCCTGTGGCTCGCGAACCAGATGTGGTTCTATTGATGCCTGCATCTGGCTCGCAGACAAATATTCGATTATAAAAAAAAAAAAAGTCGCAATAATGGTAAGAAATACTCAGTATTGATTAGTAACAGCATAACAATGTTATTAAAAAGAATTCAGAGACATAATCATTGCATTTTTAGTATTGAAATTACACAAAATGCACACATTTACTTGAATTTTTAGTTTTAAACCTAATGTATGGCTCTCACAGAATTACTTTTCAAAATATGTGGTGTCCATGGCTCTCTCAGACAAAAAGGTTCCAGACCCCTGCTGTATAGTCTTCTACGCCTATCAACAGTTTTACCAATAATAATTGTTTCACAACACTAGTGGTTGGCAAACTCGTTAGTAAAAAGAGCCGAAAATCAGCAGCAAGGAAATTTTTTTTTAAAAATTGAGAGCCAAATTTATTTTCAAGAATCTGTTAAGAATTATGCTTTTCGGAGTCGGTTTAAACTAGCTACTAAACATTGAATACAAGCAGGTATAATAATAATGATTTTATTGATTGACAAAAAATACAAAACACGCAATAAACACTAAACTCAACCAAAAATAATATTTTTTATCTTATTGGCAAAAAATACAATACAAGCATTTAATGTAAAATATAACCTTGTATTTCTTTGGAATGTTCACTATGTCTGGTTTGTATGTCACTGTTATTAATTTCAAGCAGGATAACATATTCTCATCAATTAGATCATTTTTCAATTTACTTTTGAAGAGGTTCATGCTTGAAAATGATTGTTCACATGAATACGAGCCAAAGTGTAAAAGAATAGCAAATATTTTTTTTTTTTAACTGATCATGAAAGTCAGGAATACTCTTCCAGGTGTGGAAAATTATCATGTCTTCCTTCTCCAGGCCTTTCAAAGCAGACAACTTTTGCTGTTTGATTTTTAACTCCAGCTATTGCATTTTAAAAGCGCCAATGTCAATATAAGGTAGAAAAATTCAATTTGTAATGTGTGGCGGACTGGCCGAGCCGCATTCAGGTCGTTAAAGGGCCGCATGAAGCTCCTGAGCCGCGATTTTCCTACCACTGCCTAAAGACACTTGTGCATCTTTTTCGTGGCAAGCGTCGTTATGGACGATGGCTGCCATCTTTATCTAATAATACTGAAATTCCTGTTTCTCTTAAATGTAAGGTTACATTTTCGACGTGTTTCGTCCTACATATTATTATAATATTTAATTATAATAATAAATACATAATTATTAAAATAATATAACTGAAATTTTGTTAGATTTCAAGGAAATGAGAATACACATATTCATTGATGTTATGAGAAAACTTACATGTTTCAGTTTACCAGGGCTGCCAATCACTTTTGTTGAAATTCCCAAGATTTGGTCAAAATAATTCCCAAGATTTCCCAATATCATAATATATAAATACACGGTGAACCCACACCTGCTCGTTCACTCTATGGCTTGTGCTGTTTTTATAGTCATATGGTTGCTAATACTCATTAATAGCCTAATGATAAACACACACATTTTATAATATTAATATTCTATAATGATTTCCTTAAAGATTTTAATATTTATGATCAGTTTATTTATTGTTGAGTCTGTCCTATGCATATTGCGTACACGGTCTAGTTGGTCAACATTCAAAACATGGATGTGAGTTGTAAATTTTCAACGTTACAAAAATAAAGGAAAAAAATGAATTTATTTAATTATAAATTTTTTAATATTTCCCAAATTTGACTTCAATTTCAGAAGATTTATAATTTATTTAGGAATGGTTTTAAAAAGTAGAAAAGAATTAAAATAATTAATTTATTCCTTGTGACTTTAAAATTATTTTGCTTTTTTTTCCACTTTAATTTTTATCATATACATTGTTGCCTTTTTCGAAATTTAAAAAAAAAAATAAAAAATCTTCCATTTTTAATATTTCCCAAGATTTTCCCAGATTTTCAAAATTATTTCCCAGGTATCATTTGAGTCGTGAATTCCCAAGATCTTGGGAAATTCCCAAGGTGTGGTAGCCCTGATCAACGCTTGTTTTTTTTTCTTTTTTTTTGTTCACAACTGTGCTAGTATTTTTTAGATGTGGTGCGCCGTTTGTTCAATTGTAAAGATTTAATCTTTTTACAATTTGTTTGTGTTTTTTGGTGAAATCTAAAATAAAAGTGGGAGCTTAAAAAAGACTAAGTTAAAGCTGGCCTGGATGCAATTTTACGAAACACCCGCGCTGATGACAACATCAATATAAACAACCACACCTTTGAGAGACTGGCTATTATCAAATATCTATTGGCATTTATAATCGAGCACACTAAAATGATGTGGGAGGTAAAAGAAAAGGAAACATCAGTCAACCGTTCCTATTGCAGCCTACAGAAGCTACTGGGAAGCAAAAACCTATCAAGTGGAACAAAGAAGACAATATACACTCTTATCATAAGACCAGAACAAACTTAGGCTATTGAGACTTGGTCATTTACCAGAAAAGCAGAAAACAGCTCAGTACTTGGGAGAGGAAAATTCCCTGGAAAATATATGGCCCAGTGAAAGATAATGATGTCTGGATAATCCAAACAAAGAAAGAGCTATACCACTTGTTCAAAGACTCAAACATAGTTGATACAATTTTTTTTTTAAAAAGGCAGACTGCACTGGGCAGAATATAATGAGAGTTGAGAGGATGCCGGATTTCAGAGCATCAAAAGTGATCTACAGGGAGACGCCTAGGAGAAGAAGGGCTGATCGTGTGTCCAAGACTGAGATGGATCGACGATGTAGAGAAGTACTTACACCAGCCGGGGGTTTGTGCATGGAGGCGGAAAAGCCAGGAATCGATCCGAATGGAAGAATTTAGTGGAGCAGGCTGGAGTACTATTTTGGCTTTTGCGCCACTGATGATACTATATGAAATAAAAATGAGTAAAAATTCATTCTATGAAATTGTAAGTTGGGTTTTCATTATTTTAAAATTATTTTGTATTGTTTTTCTTTATTTTTAAGACTTTCTTACCACTGTGTGGAATTGTAGTGGCACACTGGTTCCATAAAATATAACTTCGGATCTCTTGTTGCATTTCATGTTTCCCTAGGCAGTCTATGTCGAATTCTCATAATTTAGTGTCAAAATTGTAAAAACAATTGTATTTTTATAATTAAAGGGTATAGAGAGACAATTAAAAATATAATTTCGTGACTAAGCACCATATATTAACTATTTTTGGTGTTTCTGTAAACAACTATTACACAAGTAACAATAAACTTACTGGTTTAAACCAGGCCGAAAGAATATCGTGACTTGTCACAGTAGATTGAAAAAAACACAATCTCATGAACATCTTGTAACATTTTGTGAGCCCTTTTAAGAAATCTGCGGCTCTACAAATTTGGCTCACATTTTTGGAACCACTGGGCTACATCAAACAGCTGTGAAAACCAATGACTCAGCTTTCTGAGAATTAATAATTGTCTATAAATTATTTGATT